AGGCAAACAGACACGGGGAGGGGCCAGTCTGGGCAGAACTACAAGCGAACAGACTGCTCACCTGCATGGTGACGAGGCGATCATCCACCATGACCTCCTTGGTGAGGAAGTCAGCGCCGATGGTGGCCTTGTACTGGTTACTGAACTTCTTGTTGACATACTGGTTCATTAGAGAGGTCTTCCCCACCCTGCAAGCACACACACTGTAAGAGCGACACCCTACGGCACACAAAGAAACTAAACACTAAATAAAACAAAAACACCTGCGGACACACACACACAATCAGGTGGGTTGTGTCAGAAAGGCAAACATCTATCTGTTTGGGAGACAAGTAAGGTCTTTAACCATGGGCAACACTGGATGTGTGCGTAGTTCCTCCTTACCCTGAGTCTCCCAGGATTATCACCTTCAACAGCACCTTCTTGCGAGACGCCATCCTGAAGCCAGCTGGGAGAGCAGGAAGGGGAGGGAAGGGGGGGGAGAGTGGGAGAGAAGCAAGCAAAAGTGAAAGAATTAAAAAAAACGTTTCAGTTTCCAATCCACTCCCTGTCCTGTACATGTCCCTGTGTACTGTAGAGCCTTCACTGGCTCTGACGCTGCCTATGTTGTCCACTTGTCAGCGTTTTGACAGCAGCCAGCCCTGCCTGTCACGCCAGCCCGGCGGGGTGACTAACATCGCGGAAAGGTTGTGGCTACCTCCCCAGTACTTAAGAAAGAAGTGACGTCAAATGTGGGTCCCACGTCCTAGCGTTCATCATCCCAATGGAAACGGGCTGTATCTACCGTTCCTAAGCAAATTAAGTGACACCGCGGCGATTTATGCCAGAAAGACAGATCCCCCACATTTCCTCTCCCTGCTAGCACTGTAGGAAAAGGACAAGTCACCGACGCGCCGCAAAAACAGAAAGGCACCACAAGGTCAGAATCCGAGAAAACTTCGATTATCACAACCGACATCGCTTCTCCGCTCTGGCGAAACGAGGAAGGTGTGATCTCAAGCACAGGAACCAGCACAACGATCGTTTCTCTTTCCAGGGGACGTCCGGCGAGCCACAGACAGAGCTGTAAAATATATCCTGTGCCTTTAATTTCTCACCTACGCCCGCGGCTGTCGTAACGAATGCTCCTGGTTCTTCTAGTTTTAAAACTCGAGGGAAAATATGATATCTCTACATAAATATACACCTATTTAATACATCGCTGTGAACACAAACACAAACTCACCGACAAAATCACCGTCCGCTCCAACACTTCCGGTGCGGCGCTGTCAGACTCGCAGGGACAGTGCGTGACAAAGCGGGGGCGTCCCTACACTTGCAGCCGCGTTACAAATAATATTTTTCTTTCGAGACACCAGAAAAATATATATTTTAAAAACGACCGTCTAGGAGCACATCCGCCGTTGTTGTGCTTCTGCCTCAATATGGCTGCAGCAAGTCACGAGGGGGTGACGTTGCCTGTAGGAACGCCCGCTCTCCCCCTGTCTGCGGAAAGTCCCAGGTTTTGACTCCTGTGAAACAGGCGCCATTGTGGCTCAAACGGAGAAACACGGGGCTGAGGGAACTAAAACTGACAATCAGAGCCAAAATGGGGGACATGGGCTCACTCTAATCTTGTGATACACGTGGGTGTTGCGAAATCAATGCTGTGGTTATAGAGCTGGTTTGGTTTCTCGCAGATGAGGAAGTTTGTTCTCCATTTGAGCACTGTTCCCTCTTCCGTGACTTTAACAAACAACATCCACACTTTTTGTTCACAGCTTATAGGCACTGTGAGCAGGGTGTGGAGAAGTGAGTGACCACACAGAACTGCTAAGCCTTTTGATTTTCATGAGTGTTTTCTATTCTCCTCCTGGGCTTGTATTAGCAGGAAGGCTAGTAGGACTGGGATTCTGAAATAACACTGCTGGTGCTCCGTGACTATCCACACCCACAAAAGAGCTCACACTGTCTCTCAAAGGGTGGACAACCCCCCAACTCCCTTTCCGAGGTCATTTGGAAAACATGGTAAAGGAATCCTCCTGCACTTGCCTTACATCCTTACTTCTCCCAGTGGCTAATCCTATCACGAAAAAACAGGGACCAGGCCTACTAACCCGTCTTCCTATCGAATGAGGTTGTGCTCCCGAACACAAATTCTCCAATCCATCACCTGCACCTATTCTTCCAGACCTCTCTGCACAATTGTATCTTAAAACACAGTATCAGCTTACGTTTTCAAGTCTGTATATTTCCTAAATGACCACTGATGGCAGGACACCAGTCAGAAACTCATCAGAACAAACAGAAGGGAGCCTGGTGAGGGACACCAGGAGACTCAGTGGACAGTCTGTACTGACCTCAGAGAAACAGCGTCGTACACTGCTCTCCTCTAGAATCCCAGCAGGCAGGCAGCCTGGCGCATCACAGAGCAGGACTCACAACCTGCTGTCCTGACACAGGGAGCGGCAGGGGAAGATTCTGGAGCTCAGCTCTGCTCAGACTGGGGCCAGTGTCCCATGGAGATACAGTATAGGA